TCAGCTGGGTCATTGTCTGGTTTAAAGTGACCTTTATACCTATTTGTACGCCTGAAGTTTGCACTAATTACTATTTATATACTCTGGCTCTTATTAAACTGATAACCAACTAAAACCACCAAGTCTTCTTGTATGAATGAAATAAGAGAATTCTATGTTGAAAGCAAGAGAATCCACAGGACTATCTAGTAGTCCAATTCACTAATTTTGCAGGACAGGAAACAGGTCCAGAGAGGGTCAGGTTCTATGCAGAGGCTCGCAGCTTATGCAGAGTGGAGGCGGTATGGGGTCTCTTGATTCCTGTTCTGGTTGGTGCTCATTCTGCTTTTACACTTTAACTCAGACTCTTGCAGCTTAGAATCAGCTTAGAAATTTTACCTTTACATTATGACCCCGAGTTTAACCCTTTTAGGTTTCAGCTTACCTATTTCTTCAGTCTGTCAGGATCACTTCCTGCCTTGGTTTTGCCAAGCATTGCTGTGGCAGGTCCTCCCCGTCTTGTGTCTTATGTTAGGCTCATATATGGAACCTCCTCCAGCTCTGGAGGCTCTTCATTCTGTGCCATGTGCCAGCTTGTCCCACTGCAAGCCTGGCAGGGAGGACATACTGCCTGGAGACAGACAATGGACACTGTGGCTTCCTCTTCGGCTCCCCTTGCTGCCTGGCTCTTGCCTTCCATGTGAATCCTTCTCCTTCCACTTGCTTCCTGTCCTGCCTATTCTATTGGGAGCCCCACAAATCCACTTCAGACTCCACTACCAGAATGTTGTAGTGGAAGCCTCTGAAATAGGTACATATAGATGCTGAGTCCTCTCACTTTCTTGATTCACATTATTTCTGTCTCTGTCATCTCTACTTTCTCATCTGTGTAGTAGGTGGAGATGGAAACTCACAGCTAGTGAACATGTGCTCTGTACTCGTAGCTGCCAGTGGCTTCATATAATTGTCACCAATATCCCACTCCCTTAGTAGACAACATTCCTATTTCAAAGAAGAGAAGACTGATGTCAGAGAAGTTAATCTGCCAAGGATTTTCCAAGCTGGTAAGTGAAAGAGTTTCTTTACCCCCTGTCCTCCCTTGTTGAGTTATTATAAAAATCACATAATTTAGTAATGAGTGTGAAACTGATTTGAAAAGAATAAAGCATGTAAACATAAGGGAGTATTATAAAAGACTGAGATTCCTTGCTTGCACTCTCTGCTTCTCCTTTTCTGTCACCTCTCTAAAGTATAAACTGCTGCCTTTGGTCCAGACCTATCAAAGAAATGTCATAAAACCATTTTTCAAAATGTCAAGTGCCCATGTACTTTAGCCCAAAGTAATTAAGCCCTTTTATTTTCTCTAAGTCACATTGCAGAACCCTGGGAGCTTCCAGAATGCGCCCTTTCTCCTCTATCCTGGACTAATGGAAATCAAGGCTGAAAGCTGAGCTTGCTGGGGAGTCCACGAGAGCCCTTCAGTGCCACAGAGGCCTGGCCTGACTTTGGCCGGTCTCCAGCAGTGACCACAGAGTGCTAAATAATAACAGGGTTGAATTATTTATCCAGGGGCCAATGACTTGTGATGGCATGGTTTACTTCTAGCAGAGTGCCAACGTCCCTGGGTCTACAGTAAGTGGGTGCCAGAGGGAAGACAGCAGTCCTGGTCTCTAGACTGCCAGTCCTGCCTCCTCCCCCACTGCTCCCCAGAATCACCCCACCTTGTGTATAGCAATCCAAGCAAGGGCCCATGCCTGGGGGCAGCTGACATTTCAGTGACATTATTGGCTATTGACTCTGAGCTAGATATTTGTGCATACATTTTCCCAAGCATTTCTACAGCAACCTTTATTTTGCCTGTTTTCCCCAATGAAGAATTTGAGGCTTATGCTCCCAGTGACACAGTTGGCAAAGGGCAGAGCTAGAATAAAAGCCTAGGTCTGATATATCTAGGACACCACGTGTGCTCTTAGAATTCCTTCTTCCTGACAATTATTTTTATGAGCACAATCCAGGAAGTTTAGATGGTGCCAGCCATGATCTTGGGGAGCAGTGGATTCTTGGCCTGGTACTTACAGCCCTTCATGATCTGGTCCTGTTCTAGTTTTTTTTTTTTTTTTAATCATTGCATTTTGTTCCTTCATAAGAATCACCTGGGAGCTTTAAAATACAGATTCCTGGATCTCATTCTTAGTTCACTGTAATCCTAAAAACCAGTACTAGGACCCAGGAATTAGCATTTTTAAACCCAAATGATTATGATGATCTGTTGATTTGGAAGCCATCAACTGATCATCACAATCAAGCCAGCTTTCTCATTAGTACCTTTCCAAATTACCATCTATATGTCCATCTCAATGACCTTGCTCAATTCCATGCACTTCACTTAGATTGACTTTTCTTCTACCCATTATTCTGTTAAGCCAGTTCATATTCCTTAAAAGGAACTTGACTACCACAGCTTGTAGAAATATGTATGCTAGTTAGGATGTGTGTTTAGAAGCTGAGAGAGACCCAAGATAAGAGTTTTGCCTCATTTGACACCTAGAAATACATGTCTGTCTTCGCTAACAGTGCAAGAGTAATCAGTTCAGTTGTGGCTCCAGGGCATCAGAAACCCAGGCTCCCACAGTCTCGATTCTCATCCACTGTGTAATTAGTGCCTTTGGTTCCGTGACCCAAATCAGCTCATCACCACACCCATACTCCAGCCAGCAGGAAAAGGAGAGATGGAGGAAGGGGGACCAGGAATTGCCCAGAATGATTCTGATCACATCTCACTGTCCAGGATCTGATCACATGGCCATATTCAGCTGCAACCAAGGCTGAGAAATTTAATTTTATTTTACTCAGTTTAATTTCTATTAATCATGCTAGAGAAAGGGGAGAATGAATATTGGGGAACAACCTAGCAGGTTCAACTTTTACCTTGGTTTGTTATTCTCTGCTTTTATCTGTGTTCTCAGCTAAACTGTGAAAGCTTTGTGAGAACTGGGCCCCTGACTGTACCTGTTTGTGATCATTCTATGTGTCTAACATATGGAAAGCACAAGATGAATGTCACCGATTGGCAGAATAGACTAGAGTGATTACAAAGCTCTGGGATGTGTCAGATTTTTATTTTAGCCCATGTTCTCCACAATTTAACCTCTCCAGGCTTCCGTTTCATAGAAATATAACATTTAATTGAAAGGTACCTTTGATGTCATCTAGCTCAATCCTTTCATTTTGTAGATGAGGAAACTAAAAACCAGAAAGGTAGTGACTTATCCAGGACACAAAGCTTCATAAGGAGAAGAACTAGAGCCTAGGCCTTCTGGAAACCAACCCAGGCACTGTATGAAGTTCTTTTGCCATATCTGGAAAATGGGTTCTAGGAACAAGGTGTTCTTAAAGTCTCCTTCCAACATAGAAACCCTGATGCACATACAAAATATTTCTACCTTTCAATCAAATTAAGTACAAAACTGGGATAATTTCTAAGCACTCAACCATTGCATTTGCTAGATGTTGCTATGTATTGTAGCAGCTTAGACAGGTGAGCAAGAGGTAGAAAAGTTCAGAGCTTTGGGCTCCAGGGTCAGTGAAGATGCAAAACTAGGTGGAGAAGGCAAAGGAGAGACATGTGGATGAGACCCTACTGCCTGGTCACAAGCAGCAATATCCCCTGTGAGCTGCTCTGAGATGACACTGTTGTTCTAGGTGCTGTGGAGCAGCTGCCCTTGGGGACTTGGGATCCAGGTCACACACAGTTAAATGGCAGTGGAAGAAGATGTATGTAACAATCAACAGAAGAAATGTCACAAGGCAAACTGGCCATCTTAGTAATAAGAGCTTCCATTTATTGCTAACTGCAATGTGTGCCCCTCAGTTTGATAGGTATTTATTTTATAGGCTTGATCTCATTAAATTCTCACGACAAGCTTCTGGGATTACTGAAGGTCATACAGCTGGTAAGTGGTGATTAATTGTCGGAGGAGTGGTGTGAAGAACATAAATTATGGAGCAGTTTGGAAAGAGCGAAGCCTGTGGATAGAGAGTGGTCTGGAAAGGCTCTGTGGGGGAGGAGAAAGTTAAACTGGGTCCTGAGCATAGAAAGGATTTGTGGGAGAGGGGAAGAGGGAAAGGGAGGGCCGATGGCAAAGGCAGCCTTGGTGAGGGGATGCAGGGAGTGAGTGAGGTCCCAGGTAAAGTACGAATCAGAGCCAAGGGCAAACACCCAAGCTGTGGAATTGTGAGGCTAGGGAGTGATGAAGGGGAACGACACACCAATAATCATTCTCAGGAAACGAAAAGGATAAAAAGTCAATGGACACTCCATGGCTCACCTGTGGCCTACTGCCAAAGAGAAGAGAAGAGAAAATGACTGGAAGACTCTGAAAGCAATTTGTGTCAAGAGCCTTACAAAGAAGTATATATCCTTTCATCCAGGAATCTCACTTCTAGGATTTACCCAAAGAAAATTTCAGAGACAGACTGAAACCTGGAACCAACTAAATGTCTAATAGTAGGGAAATCATTGAATACATTATGGTACATCTGCATGACTAAATGTTATATAGTTTTTACAGAACATACATTTGAAGAATATGTAATGATAGCACATAATGTCAGGTAAAGAAGCAGAATGCAAAACTGCAGTACAGAAGTTCTTAACTTTATTTGTTAAGAACTTATTACATGAAATTGTATGTGTGTACACATAAACAGAGGAAAAGATCAAAAGAAAAGATAGTGTATTTAGTGTAGTTAGCATCACATGGTAGGAATATGGGTCATTTAGTTTCATTTTAAACTTCAATATTTACCAAGTTTTGTTCAGTGAATACCTACTTTTACAGTAATCAAATGCTCATTTTATTTTATTTTTTTGCGGGGGGGTTAACAGGGATTGAACTCGGGGCACTTGACCTTTGAGCCACATCCTCAGCCCTAGTTTATATTTTATTTAGAGACGATCTCACAGAGTTGCTTAGTGCCTTACTTTTGCTAAGGCTAGCTTTGAACTCGCAATCCTCCTGCCTCAGTCTCCTGAGCTGCTGGGATTATAGGTATGCGCCACCTCTCCTGACTTGAAATGTTCATTTTTAATTGAAAATCTCTGAACACTAAACATATCTGCTTTGTCTTTAAAGACAATTCATTATCCATTCCCCCACGCCCCCAACACAAATAGTCCAACTAAATGATTGTTCCATGGTTGCTGCATCCACAGAGTCTGGAAGTTTGTGCAAACCTGGTTTGCCCGGGTTCCCACGTAAAGCTTCCTGTCTCCTGGCTTCCACTGCATTGCAAACACTGAAGTTTCCCATTAATGTTCTGTGTAGTCATTTAGATAAATTGTCTTCCTCAGTGTCATAAATCCTAAATGAACAACACTCTCATTTCAGAGGACAGGCACCAAAGCTTCTTTCAAACTTGAAGATGTATGTGTCTGTGGCTTTCAGAATGCCAGGGGTCCTTCATCAATATCTGCAGGGCCTTCCCAAGTGTAGGAATGTACCGTGTCTGGCAGAAAGACATCACTGTACTTGGATCGCTAGTTTTCACCTTTATCCTTCCTGTTGGGTGTTTATTTTTCTTCCTTCCTCTGAAATAGTTGAAATATTAACAGAGTAAGAGAGGCAGTACATTAAATATAACTTGATCAGAACCCCTCCTGTCTTCACCCTCATTGCTAGAGTGGCAACAGAAAGGTTAATAACTAAAGAGAGGCCCCCCACGCACTTAACCACAGTGCAGCACCCTATCACCAGGTGACAATTAGAAACCTTCCATGAATGCCAATGACGAGTGATCAAACAGAGCTTTGCCCAAACCAGGCGGACCACTGCATTAGCTCAGCTCTCCATTCATCATGGAACTGACAGCCTGCTGAGCTCAAGGTTGAGTACGCAGCTCTGCCTTTCTGTGTTACCCAGTGAAATGGTCCATGCTGCTAGGACTGAATGGGAGAAGAGATGGGGAGGGAATGAAGGAAATGAAACAGGCTTGTCTTGGGCGTGCTTGGGCAACAGTTCAAAGTGTCTGAGACTTGAAGAGAAATGTTGCATAATGATCTTGCTTGTTCCTGCTTGCAACTTTCTGGCTCTCACACAGGGATGGTCCTACCTCAAACAACTTTCACTTTTTGGAGGCAGCATGACAAACTGGAGCAAACACTTAGTCAGTTATAAGACTTTGGACAAGTCACTCAGGCCTGTTTTCTCATCATCCATAGAGTAAATGGGCTGGATGAGAGTAGCAGTTTTCAACCTGGGCTCCTTGGGGCGCTGAGTTCCACAGAGCTGCCTTAGACTCTGCCAGGTATGCTTCCTGAGTGTGCATGCGGTGGGTAGACAGGTAAATACTAAACTCTATTGCTCCATGAGAGCTTATTGAATTATATTTGTAGACTACTTTAAATGGGAGGATTGTGGTCTTACCCATGAATCTCATTTGATCCTCACAATTTTGTGAGGTAGTCAGGACTGTTGTGACCTTCTGCTCTACTTACTGAGTAACAAAACACTCCAAATTTGATGGCATAAGATAACCATTGTATTATGGATTCTTTGAGACAAGAATTCAGATGGGCACAATAGTAAATGCTTTTCTTTGCTCCTTGATGTCTGGGACATCTACTGGAAGACTCCAAGGCTGGGGGCAACTCAAGAGCCAGGGGCTAGACTCATCAGGATGTGTATTCATTTACATACCTGTCAGGGGGAACCTCAGGTGAACTATTGATTGGAATACCAACACATGGCCTCATTCTATGGTCTCATCACTGGCTGGTTTGGGCTTTCTCACACAATGTAAACTGAATCCCAAAAGCTATTGTCCCATTTTTATAATTAAACCTCAGAAGTCACATAATATTGCTTCTACCATGCCCTAGTGATTGAGGCAATCCCAAATCACCCAGCATCAAGGAAGAGGACATGATAGGAGAAGAATCAGTGTCACGGTGCAAGAAGAACATGTGGAATGGGAGATAGCTTTGGAAAATACGATCTGCCAAGTTCTCTTCATTTGAAAGATGAGGAAACAGGAGGATTAATATACATCTCTTAAGAGTAGAACTGCGACTAGAACTGATTCCTTCAAATTTGAGCTCTTTCTTCACCATGCTGCTTTGGGCTCTTCATTTTTTCTTTCTGAGTTAACTCGTTAATTTAGTAAATAGATTGATTCAAGTATGAACCTTTAATATGAAAGTACACAACCAGTCTCAGAGAACAATATCTTCTAGTGAATGGAACATTTTGATCTGATCTGTTCACAGAAAATTGGGATGGAAAATGTATATAACTTCCATTAATGTTAAGGTAAAGGCAAGGGTTATTTGTGTCTCTTTCTAGCCTCCAGCCCAATATCAGGAACATAATCAGCACTTAGTAAAGGGTTGTAGTTTCTGTTTACTTGTTTTTGTTTTATGAATTGACATTTAAAATATTTTCCAAAGTCAAAGCCATGTAAGCCACTCTTTAAGTTTGCCTTGGTGGTTTCTATGTGAAGTTTATTTTTATCTTTATCCATTCTCACAACACCTAAGTATGTATTTCCAATTTATCAACAAGAAAAATGAGAGCTAAGCAATCAAGAGAGAGCCAAGAACACAGGGTGGAGTCTGAAAAATAGAGTTTGACTCTGGGGAAGTTGTGAAGTGGAAAATTTTTCATTGATCCAGCAGCCATTTACTGGGACTTGGAAATGCCTGTTTCTATGTTCAACATAGAATCCAGAGGTGAGGCAAGTATTCTCTCTCTCACTGAAATCCTCACATTCTAACGAAAAAGATAAACAGCACAATCAGTGCTGAAAGGGAGCCTGAACGAAGTGGTGATGGAACACAGAGGGAGCAGCAGTGGACACTGCCTGGGAGATCAGATGGCTTTACAGAGGAGAACCTGTACCTGGAGGGAGAGGTGAAAGCTGCCTAGGCAGAGACAGTGGGGGTAGAAAAAAGTCCTGAGCTTAAGGAATGCACACAGGACACAGGGGCACGAAAGGACATGATGTATCTTAAGAACAGTAGGCAGTTGGTCCATGTTGGAAGTTAGGTGTAATGGGTGAGCAGACAAGCAGGGGAGGAGACTGGAAAAGTAAGTAAGTCGATTGTCAAGGAGTGTCAGTGGCATTCCTAGTTATTCTATTTCTCTGAATGTTCCCTTCTTCATAATCCCACTTATCCTCACTTCTGAGTCCCTGCTCCCTTGGTCTCTGGATGAAAATTTAATTATCTCAAGAGCTGCTAAACACTTCTTGCAATAAAGTACAGTACATCCCATAATGATCAACTTGCAGAACTACTATTCTTTGCATACAGCAAGCCAAACTCCCAGGCATGGGGCAGAATGTAAATGTTAACAACCTCCTAGGTCATTGCCAATAAAACTCCTTCATGGCTGCCTAAATAACAGGCATTGTCCAGTGCCTCCAGCTAGAGTAATAACCCCAGCTTCTACTGCCTGAATGAGAGGAGCGTTGATTCTCTATGTGAGAACAAGCAGGTTAAAGTGATGTTCAAGGAACCCAGACCTTACCAACACACGAACACAGTGCCTGCACAATGCTGCAAGGGAGGGAGGAGGACCTTCCCATGGGGTGATTGGTTTCCTTTCCTTGTTGATTGGCATCAGGTGCTGCTTGACCTCTTAACTCCTCAGAGCTTGTTTTCATGTCCCACTTTTTGCTGTCCTCCAAGTCTAACTCACCTGGTACTAGAAGGCAGTTGGCTGATCACGGAGGTGCTAATATCTTGATGATATTTTTTTCCTCAGTTACCCCTCTAACCTCTTATTCCCACCATTCCTCACCACCTGACCACACTGATGGCCTCTCCACCCTTGACTCACCTCTTGAGCTCTGGTTTCCTGATCACACTTGCTGATTGGCTTTGCTCCAAGGATTGTGTCCTGTGACTCTGGTTGTCAAGGCCACTTTCTGCCCATTTATATGTCCAATCTATCCAACTGCTTCTTGAGCATTACTTCCCCAGAGGATTGACATCACATCATCATGCTGTTTCCTTTTGTTCCCCTGATATGATCCCTTGGCTAGGAAAGAAGTTCTTGTGTACTCCCCTGAATCCAAGCCTCTGCCTGTGCCTGGCCTGAGTTGCCAGACTATGTTTTATCCTTTGCTTAAAACTCTACCAAATTCCTTTCTAAATGTTCCTATTGTTTCCTTTGGAGCAGAGGCCTTCTCTGCCTTCACTGTGCAAACTGTGCACCCTGAGTTGGAATCCAGTGAGAGCTCCAGTCCTTGCATCTCAAGATTACTCATTGTCATGCTCAGTCAATGTCTATGGCTACTGATATCCCCTTAGAGACCTTGAATTCTGGGTTCTGAATTTTTATTTGTCTGTCTCATCTATGGTTACTGTACTTCATTTTCCTACATGGACTTTCTGTTTCTATCTGTTGCTGTGTCTACCATCCCACTGATTAATGCCAGGGTAGGCCCAACTGCTGTCAACCCCAAATCTCAGTAGCTTAACATAAGAATTTTTTTGTTGTTGTTTTTGTGCCGGGGATTGAACCCAGGGCCTTGCCTTGTGCATGTGAAGCAAGCACTCTACCAAATGAGCTATATCCCCAGCCCCAAGAATGGTTTCTTTCTAATTTACACCAGTTTGTGTGTTCAGTAGTGTACTATATGGTGATTCAGGGGCCTACTTCTTCCATCCAGTGACCTTCTCCATTTTCTAGGAACTTGAAATCCTTAACTGCTTCCTTTGTGTCCAGATAGCCAGTAGATGAGGGATGCAATGAGTAGGTGAGGTAGCAGTCAGGAGTTTTCTGGGGCTGGTCAAGAAGTGGCACTCATTACTTCTGTCCTCATCGCTGGCTAGAACTAGTGAACTAGTAGCTGGCCTCATTTAAAAATGAAACCTTCCTGAGTGTCAAGAGGAAATAAAATGCTCTAGGACACAAGTAGCATTGGCTCTGCTACTTAGGAAAGTATCTGTTTTCTAAGGTCCATCTCCTCCCAATCCAGTCCACTCCTTCATTTTGTTCAGTCTAAAATGATCTGGACTCCTGAGAAGACCTCTAAGAAGTGGCAGAAGATGTGAAGTAGACATCTACCTTCTTACTACCTGAGTAGAAGGTGGATCCCATGGAAAGGCCCTCTAGGGAGAACCTCAAGCTGACATAATATTGCAAATTGGACTCTTTTTGACAAATGACAGCCTTTCATTTCTTCCAGGAAATATTCTTTTTCTCCTCCTGGGGACTTGTTCAGAGAAGAGATATCCAAGTGATACATGCTTTGCAAATATCTAGATGGAGGAGAAAAAAATGGCACAAGGAAAAATTTAGACAATGTAGATCACCATGGAAACAATCTTTAGAACACACAAAGGGGGAGGAATCATTGTTAACATGGTTCATATTTTGAAGAGGTATCTAATCACCAAATTCAATTTAAGACCCTTCAATCATGCTATCTTCAAAGTGCTGAGGTTGTTGTGACCACAGAGCACAAGCTGATTTTCAGGAAGCCCTTTTCTTACCCATCTAATCATCTTTAATGAAGATAATGCTTTAATGAAGGCAACTTACTGTTATCCCATTGGTTAATTTGAAATCAGTAAAAGGTCAAGTTACCATTAACACAGCAAATTTACTCAGTTATTCCAGGAGTATTTTTGTTCTGACAGCAGAGACTTATAAGAATATGGCAAAGATGCATATTTGTTGAAATGTGCACAAGGAAAACAGAAGATTTGTCTTTTATATGTCATTTGAAAGAAAAAGGGAAACTTCTTCATTGCACAAAAGCAGTTTTTCTTAGACTTTTCTGCCCTAACATATGTGAAAGTACCTACAGGTATGGATGATACTCTGGCAATAATACAAAATCATTATAGCTGTTTAACCAAAACCTCTGGAGGTTGCAAATAAGCAGTTTGTTCCAAGGACTTCTAAAGCTATGTCAGAAGAAGGGCAGTGGCTCTTGAAAACAAGGCTTCAGAAATGGAGAGTCACTACAGTCCATGTGTTGGCATGGGAATGTAGAGTCTGTCCACTATTACCTGCCCACTATTACCTATCCACCTTCACAGGCATGGGAATGTAGAGTCTGTCCACTATTATCTGCCCACTAGTCTCTGAGAGCTCCCACACTGTCTGTCTATTCCCCAGTTTCCCAGTCTTCTTGGGAAAAACTGAGTGTCTTCCTCATTTGCAGGCAAAGCCATAGTCTGATCTTGCAGTCCCAGGATCACAAATCATGAAATGTATGCCCTGAAGTCTTCTAGAATATATATTTGTGCTCTGTTTCCTGCTTTCCTTGGCCCTAATTTTCCTAATATGGCCATCCCTTAGTATTTTGGGGGATTGCTTCCAGGAGCCCCTACAGACACCAAAATCCACAGGTGCTCAAGTCCCTTATATAAAATGATTTAGCATTTGCATATAACATATGAACATCCTTCCTTATACTTTAAGGCATCTCTACATTACGTATAATATGCAATACAATGTAAATATGATGTCAATAGTTGCTATACTACATTATTTAGTAGTGTTCAGTTATTCAGTTACATTTTTTCCCATTTATTTTTAATGAGGATGGTTAAACTCATGGGTGGGGAACCTGAGGATACAGAAGACTGATCATATATGTTACATGTGGGTTTGGGGAGAAAAGAGCCTCCCTATAATACAAGAAAAGTCTTGAACAAAGTATGAGATTTCTTTTCTCTTCCTTCTTTCTCCTTCTTTCCTTCCTTCCTTCCTTTCTTCTTTCATTTATTCCTGCAAATATTTGTCAAGCATGTGATATGTACTGGGTATTCTTGCAAGTACCACTATTATTGCTTTTGCATGTCTTTTACCCCTCTCTGTGACTTTTCTTCTTCCAACTTTAGTTACCAGATTTCCTCCTGTCCTCCAACTCTTTGTGACCTCAAAATCTGTTCTCAGGAAAGTTCAGCTAACAGTCGTTTGTTCTTTAGTGCAAATATAAAATTGCCACATTCCTCTTCTTAGAATAATTAGCATTTGACATTTGATCTTCTTTGTATCAAATGATTAGCAGTTGAAAAAAATTGAGACATTAATTTGCAAGCAGGAGTGATATTTTTCAAAGCAGAAGACCTTCTCCAAAACCTTAGAGTCACACCATCTGTTGACCACCCACTTGAAATATGCATGAGGTTGGTCCCTTCCTTTGCTCCTTTTGGTGATCAAAACAGAGGATGGAATTGATCAACCTCAGAAAAACATGCTAACATTGTTCTTAGGGTAAGAGCAGAGAAGCCTGCATAATCCTGCCTCCTACCTAACTCTTCAGACTCTTTCTACATCACTGGAGGAAAGCCACATTGGAATTTTATCAGATCTTTGATCAAAATACCATCTAATCTTAGTATGCCTCTGCATGGAGCATACTACTCATCAACCCCTTCAGCATGCTGATTCCTACCCCTGCCTCGGTACTCACTGCAGATGGTTCTCCTGGGAAGCCTTTTCTGACTCTCAGGGACCTAGAAAGACTAGGATAGGCCCCTTGATACATGAAGTCATAGCACCCAATACTTTTCATAGCACTTATCATGATTGTGCTTCATTATTTGTTTCATGGAAGTATATACTCCATTGACTTAAATCTTCATAGTGGTCTTATCTATCGTTGTGTATCAAATGTGCTGGGCACATAGTACATAACTGGAATGTGTACATGACAAATCTGAAGTACTGTTCCCAAGTCAAAACATCATTGGGAGTTCCCTATTTGGTAATAAAATACTGATTAGTTTTGCCTTGCTGAGTGTTCACCTACTGCTGAGGTCAGTCATCTTGGGATTTGGGGGTTTTTCCTTATTGTCTCATGCCTGGGATGTCCCCACTTCAGTTCAACTTGTGAGATCATCCGGGATTAATCTTTGCAAACACTAGTTTGAGCAGGCTACTTTTATGCTTAAAAGCCTCTCATGCATTGGAGTTGGCTGCAGAATAAAGTTCACATAGATTCTGCTCGGCCTTCAAGCCCTTCTGTGATCGGACCCTGACCTATAATTCTGTATTAACTTACCCTCTGTGGTGAGTTGCTTATTCCATCAGATGTTTTTTTCTTCCACAAGAAGAAACAAGTTTCTGTTTACATTGTTTACTCCATCTAAAATGCTCCCTGCTCTTCTGTTTATCAAGCTTCTACCCAGTTTAAGAGTATAACTTGCTGGGCATGGTGGCACACATTTGTAATCCCAGTGGCTGGGGAGTCTGGGACAGGAAGATTGTGAGTTCAAAGCCAGCCTCAGCAATGGTGAGGCACTAAGCAACTCAGTGAGATCTTGTCTCTAAATGAATTACAAAATAGAGCTGGGGATGTGGCTCAGTGGTCAAGTGCCCCTGAATTCAATCCCTGCTCCACCCCACCACCTCCAATTAAAAAAAAAGTATACTTCATTTCCCACTTTCTTTGTATAACAGTCCCTGGCCACTATCATTGGGACTCTTTCAGGTACAAGTACAGAGTCAATCTCAAATAGGTTTAAGTAAAAACAACTTACTGCATGCAAGGTATTGTATATTTCTGATTCTCATCTAGTTCAATTGGCTTTTTTTCAACCCCAAAGGAAAATTACCAGAAAGGTAACAAATATCTCAGGTTTCCTCTGAGAACCATGCAACTTCCTTCATGCAGTTCTGGGGGCTGACCCCACCATCAGTTCTAGGAATGGAAGTTTATCCTTTCTTGGGAAGGTCCTCTCTCCATCTGCTCTCTTCTTCCTTCTGTTCCTCATAGGAACTATGGCTCATAGCTTGCATTCTTCACAATGCTTTATACTTTGCAGCTATCCAATATTTGTTGATTATATTTGACAGTAAGGGGTTGAGGAAAGGGTGGAGAACTAAGATTTTCTCTGGTTTCTTATGGTTCAGACTTAATTTTTGCCCTCAATGCTAAAGAAAATGGAAGGTTTACAACACATTCGTGTTATGGTCATTTAAGCTATGAAGATGCAAATACAGGCTAGGATTGTGGCTCAGTGATGGAGCACTTGCCTAGCATGTGTGAGGCACTGGGTTTGATTCTCAGCACTGCATATAAATAAAATAAAGGTCCATTGACAACTAAAATATATTTTAAAAAGATGCAAATACATCTCAAATATATTTTCTTAGCTGTAGCTCATTTCCTGGTCAACTTGTAAAGTTATTTGATGCTTTTGTTGTATGTATGGCTAATCTATGTGGCTCTTATATATGTAAAAGTTAGACGTGCAATATACCTAACTTGGATAATTGGTTTTCTTTTTATGTGGATTTCCTCACTTTTAATTTAATAAGAGAATTTGTCCTCTCACCGAATATTAATTCACAGTGGTAAGTCTTCAGAAATATATATTATATTATAGAATTCAATCTCCTGCTGTCAAATACACTTTATTCTCACACGGACACTTTATGTTGTCAGATGTCAATTATTTTGACAGGATCCTGAAAGATGGCGTTTTCACATTTTTATTCTTAGCTAATATGGATAGGTAAGAGAATGTTTTCCCCCTCTGTTTTCATAGAAACATATACTTTCCCACAAGATTGGATGAAAGTGGTATGTTTGTAAAGCACTCTAAGCTTTGGGGAGGAAAAGGTTTCCCTACTGCTCAAGACCTACTATTAACTGCCTCCAAATGGCTCCACAGTTGTTGTTATGTCCAATTGCTGTAATGCTCAGAAGGGTCTGAATCTTAAGGCACTGGAAATGCCTTTGTTTCCACCAAGAATGACTTCTTCTACTTTCTTTTGGCATACTGCCACTTGCATTTTGTATGTAGTAAGTTATGGCTACTGATCCATTGTCCTTTGCTTTTTGGGTAATGTTAGTGCCTGATGATTAGTAGGCTGTGAGTTTGTCGGGTATTTTATTTCAGGAGTAGGAGCAGACTGAAACTATTCTCAACACTCTTGTGTTAGCCATCGATTATTGCATAACAAGTGATCTCAAAATAAAATGTCTTTAAACTATAGACATTTATAAACTCACACAGTTTCTTTGAGGAATATGAGAGAGGCTGGGGGCATGTGTGTTCTGGCTCAGGGTCTCTCATGAGGTGATGTCAAGGTGTTGGCCTCAGGTTACAGGCTTAACTTGGCTGTACTAGACTTTCCAAGATAGTTTACTTACACAGGTATTAGCTGGAGGCCTAAGTTTCTGGATTCTTCTTCAGTGTCTTTATGCTTTGGTTACTTCAGAGTGTGTGACCAAAGAAATTAAGGAAGAAGCTTTAGTGCCTCTCATAACCATCTTATAAGTCACACACTATCATTTCTGCTGCATTCTATTCATTAGAAGTGAGTCACTAGGTCTAGCCCAGGCACAGTGGGGGAGGGAATTAATTAAGCTTCACTTCTTGAGAAGTGTATCAAATAATTTTGGGATATATTTTAAAACAGTTCTATTGATTTCCCCCTCTCTGTGACTGGCTATCTGCAATACACAAACCAAAGTCAAGGGTTTAATTAAGGGTCAGCAAATGGAAAGATGAATACTGCTCCCTTAATCTTAGGATAATTCACACAGAATTTCGGCCTTCCAATCTAACCAAATAGGTATCCCCCAACTCTAAAAGGAAGTAAAAGAAGTTGAATTGGAGAGTCAGATTTCTTCTTTCAGTTTTTCAAACAACATTGTCTAATGAGGTCCTTGTGAATATGGAGTGGCCAGGAGGTAGCTATTTCCAAGGTACACTCGGTAAAGCTTCAGAACAGAGACCTAGATGAATAGGTCAGAATAAGGCAGCAGTGGCCATAACTTAGTAAGAAGCACACAGGTTCTGTTCTGCTGCTGGTTGGCAAAGACCAGTCACAGATGGTGACAGTGAGGCTATGAGTAGACAGACCCAGTGCTCGGATCAAGCAAGTGCCAATGCCTCACACTAAAATCATCTGCAGCACCACTGAGAAGTATGCAGGATTCATGAGCAGAATTCTAAGCTTGGATCTCTAAAATAGAGACCAAAGTGGCTCTGGCCCCTTGGTGGCTTTCAGCACAAAACACCAAGAAGGGAGCACTTGGTAACAGATGGAGAGAGTACAGGAACAGAGCGTGACTGTCAGGCCACAGAATGACGCATCGTGCCATAAAGACAGATGGTGAGAGGGTGCCCCCATGAGCAGTGGCTTGCTGCCTTTTCAGTACTCACACTGCCTGTGTACCCTTCACATTGGGGCCTCCTCAAGAGTTGCTACTCCCAAAGCATTTTTATTTAGAAGTCAAATGTAAGTGTGCCAAGCTTTAGTTCAGGCTGAGAACACTTCATACCTTTCTTGTTTTCTCACATTTACTGTCACATAGATTTCTGATACACTAATTAATAAGGTAATCTTATGCGATGATATAATTTATGAGACTGAGTATTGGAGAAAAGATGCCCATAAGATATAGAGTTTTCTTTCTAGTATATTCCTGCCATTAGGACAAGAGCCAAGAGGGTGGGAAGCATAGAATAAACACAGATTTTTGTTTCAAGATACAGATAGAACCTACTTGTCATTATTTAAAAAAATTCATTGGATCTGCTAGTACCAAACATAGAGGCAGACAGGAGGAGTCTGCCTTTAAAGGGCTCTACTCTGGTTCTTCTCTAGCTGCATTCCTACTTACGGAAGAGGAGTTCATTAAGCCAAGGAATGTGCCCACCTGGAACTGACTGGAGTTGACTTGACACTTTGTACTTCACTCCAGGTGCTCAGCAGTAAGAATTCCCTGCCTAAAGACCCAGAGTACACTTTCAGAACCTCGGTGGGCTTCTCTCTAGATCCTGAGATATATATACCCCTGAACTTGTGGAATGCCCATGAAATGACTATTTTGGAGGTAGAGAAGTGGAACTAGAGCTTGGACGTGTGGGCTGGAGTATCCACGTTGGGGTTACCTTATAATTTGGGACTGCACTAAGGGAAATAATGGGAAAAGGCTGCCCTGGTGGGGACCATCTCTCCTTAACCTACCTTTTTTTCCCCCCCAGCAGGGTACTGTGAGAAGTCCCATACCAGAATTCTAAATCCCAACATGGTTTTTCAAGTTGTTATCAAAGTATATTTGTAAAAGGATATAATTTTTTTTTGTGTGGTGCTGGGGATTAAACCCAGGGTCTTGTGCATGCAAGGCAAGCACTCTACCAACTGAGCTATATCCCCAGCCCAAGGATATAATTTTTTTTAAAGTCCACAGTTTATTATTTGTCTTATAACTTTGACATATTTAGACATTTGATATGTGGGCCTCCAAGAGTAACTTATTCCTGGGTTCTACAAATGCTAGGGTTGGTCCTGGTTTCCCATTTAATACAAAATCAAGCCAAATCAAAGTGGCTTGGTATTTAACGCCTTTTACTCTTTAATTCCTTTCTGATCTGATCTCCCACTACTTTTCTATAGGAATCTATCTACCAAACTGGCCAACTCACAGGCTCAGCCCTCATGCTTTTCTCTGTGCTTAGGTTCACATCATTTTCCCCCGAAGGCCTCCATTTCTACCCTATATTTGTATGGTCAACCCACTGTCTTTCCATTCGATTCAAGACTTACAGCCATGACCCCCCCCCCACTCTTCTAACTGTTTTTGTCTGAGCCAATTATTGTCACTAAAGTGT